ATATATATATATATATATATATATATACAAAGAGAGAGAGAGAGAGAACTACCTGGTAAGTTATGAGAGTTACAGAGAGAAAGAAAGAGAAACAGGCAATAAGAGGGTCGTTACTTCTGTAAACTTCTCTACAGATCCTACAGTAATCATTGAAACGCTGTCGTTTCATATAAACGAGACCAACAGCAGTACCGAAAAAATAGTTAATGCCCGCCTTTTCTTGTTTCAAAACTCTCAAACTCTCTCTCCAAAAGGCTCATCAAACTAGCATAACTTTTCTCCCCATGTAGGCCACTTCAAACCCCAAATCAAATTCCCCGAAACTCATGACCCAAACCTCGCGTTTGACAATTGGAAAGTCCTCCAATGTGTTTCGGAAAACAAATTTCAAGAAGCATATGACCTGCTCAAGGAAATGCCTTAAAGGGGTCACTTGACCCACGTAGTGGGTTGGACTTCATTTAATCTTGCCAAAAAATGGTTTAGTTGATGAAACTCAGAAGCTCTTTCAGATCATGCCTGAGAGAAATGTGGTGACATATAATTGAGTGCTTCAAGTTATATGCAATGTGGGTGTGGGAGGTTAGATGAGGCGTGCTGAATGTTTAAAGAGATGCCGGAAAACAATATGGTGTCCTGGATATCGATGCTTTGAGGTTGACAACTTTGGAGAGAGTTAATGAAGGGAGAGAGTTGTTTAAAGTGATGCCAGAGAATAAGGTGGTTTCTTGCTCTTCAATTGTGGTGGGGTTCATTAGGAAGGGTGTGAAAGCACAAAAGGTGGATTTTTTATGTGATGCTGGGGAAGAATATAGTTTCGTGGAACGCAGGGCATGAATAGAATTGTAGGATGCAAGAAGCGATGGCTTTGTTGACCCAGTGATGGATAAGAATGGGGTTATTTGGACAAGCTTGAAAGCGGGTTATTAGAGGGTTAGTGATGCGGAAGAGGGGTATTTTATATTGCGAAGAATGCCCGAGAGGAATGTTGTTTCTTGGAAACCCTTGATTGGTGGTTTTGCTTGGATTGGCTTTTACAAGGAGGATTTCTTGCTATTTATTGGAACAAAAAGTTGTGATATTAAACCAGATGGGGAGATTATCATTTTGCTTGTGCTGCTAAGGCTTTTCTCACCTTGGGAAACAGTTGCATGCTCATTTGATAATAAACAGCTGGGAATATGATGACTATGATGGAAAAGATTATTGACGAATTTGATTCACATGTGCTTTTTGTTTGGAATCATGGATTGTTCACACTACATATTTTTCAGGATGAAGCAATTTTGTTTAGAGTCAATTCTATGATTAATGGCTATATCAGGAATGGATAGCTAGAAAAGGCCCATAATTTATTCGACACTGAACCTATCAGAGACATAATTTTATGGACTTGATGATCAATGGGTACTTTCATGACGTGAACAGGTAAAGTAGTAAACGTGTGCCATCTTTTCCAGAATATGCCTGAGAGAGATGATGTTATGCGGACAACAAAGATATCAGGGCACGTCCAAAATGAATTGTTTGCAGTAGCAACCTGCTTATTTGCAGAAATGCGTGATTCAAGGGGTTTCACCTTTAGATACCACATATTCCCTCCTTCTTGAGGTTGTAGGTGCAATGGCTTATCTTGATCAACACCGGCAGTTCCATTGCCTGTTGATGGAAACAAGTCTGAGTTTAACTTAATTCTTAATGTATGCGAAACGTGGAAATATAGAGGGTTTATATATAATCTTCTCAAGCATGATATCGCGAGCTTTGTTTGTTAGAATTCCATGGTAATGGGATTCACTGATCATGTCTAACAAAGGTGGCACTCATTCAGGGATGGAAGTTATTTAGTGCCATGGGTAACATTTATTTCATCAACCAGGTTTGCAGCATTGTATCTGTGTGATTAATCTGCTAGGCAGAGCAGGTAAAGTTATGGAAGTGGAAAAGTTCATCTTGAGGCTGCCATTTGAGCTTGGACATCTGTTTGGGGAATACTGCTTGGTGTATGTGGATTGGTTGGAAAAAATCACTGATTGCTAGACATGTAGCCAGCCGGCTTCTTGAGTTGGATCCTTCAAATGTACCAGCCTGTGTCACTGTATAACATGTATGCATCAAATTGTCGGCATGTCAAAGAAAGAGTACTAAAGATATGACACTGTTTGTTCAATTAATCATTTGGCCCCATCAGGGAAAGTAGATCATGTGGAATAGTAATACTTATCTTGCAATCTTGTAAGGAGTTCATTGCTTGGTGATTGTGAATTTATAAGGTAAAGGAGGGGACTGTTAGACATGCAAACAAACCACTCCCTGAGTTGGATCTCTATATTGCATTAGCCACTGTGCCACTCTGCAATAAGACAGCAACTGGACAATGTGTCACAAGGAATACTAGAATCTAGAAAGATTTGTGATTGAAGAGGGTGAAGAACGTTTTTTTAATATTGTTAATCGTGGTTGTTCACTTAGTTGAACTTTGTTGTATCCTAGGGACGACTACAATCTGTAAGTAGATGAACTTTGTTTGTTTTTTAATATTTTAGCTGATGTTTTTGCCCATATATGTATTAGAGAACAAGTGCTGCAAACTGAGATTACCGTAATGTTCAATCTCAGGAAAATGCAACTGACATAAAAATGTTTTGCAAGACTACATTTATACCATAGAATTGTTTGGAAGAGTGGAGGAGAAGAAAACAGTATATGTGTCAAGTTACTGAGGCTTTCCAATTTTTTTTAAAAAGATTTGTCTCAATTTCAGTCAAAACAAATTAGAATAATTTCTATATCGTTTGGCGACTTTTTTTTTTCCCCAACGATAAGGGGTGTGCGGGTTAGGTTACGCACTCCGCGATTAATCTACTTCTTAGTCAAAGATAAGTCATCCACGACGGAACTAAAATATTATTGAAGGATAAATCTCGTGTGACCTGAATCCATGAGATTAACAAGATTTGAACTCATATATGTAATAATAACTTCGGCAAAAAAAAAAACAAAAGATATCTAAATTTTTCAATGATTTCTATGTATATGTCATCATAATATATTAATGATAAACTGATGTACATATTTATGGAAACAATTAACTTTGGTGGAATAGTAAACTTTAGCAAAAAAAAAAAAAAACAATAATGCTATGCTGACCAAATTTTTGGATCAAATTTGGAACTCAAATGACTTGACAACATATTATTTGAAGTCTTTATTGGGGCCCAAATGACATGATACCAAATAAAGAAGCCCAAGTCAACTGTCATGTCATTTGGGCTCTAAATTTGATCAATGTAACATTACTCAAAAAAAAATACAAGAGAATCACCACTTTAATATTTTCTTTAAAAAAAAAATTACCAAGCAACAAATTTATCTTTTTAAAGGTTCAAGCAACTGTTGATTCTAAATATGCATCATTCTCAATAATAAATCTATCTACATGTGTGTAACAATAAATTTGTGAAAGTGAGGGTTTATGAATCCATCTCTCACTGAATGTTTAGTTGTGAAATGTAACCCCATGGTATGCTATGAACAATAATACATTGGTTTTTTTTTTAAGTTCAATTTTAAATTAACTCTTAGATAATAATATCTCATCCACTAGATTATGGATGAAGGAATGGACATATACCAACATATTATTGACCCAAATTCATCTATTTAACAAATATGACTGATAATGATTGGTTTAAGTTTGGACACTTTAGAGTCCAAGATTCTCTAGGCTTGTAGAAAGTGGCCTAGCTTGCCTAAATGAACTATCCTGAGTACGAGCTGAGCCACAGACCAGTTGTGGGGAAACTCAAAATAACAAGTCCGACACAATAACAAGTTCAGAACTTAGGAGTCCGATGCATGACTTGTCTGCAAAAACTGCAGCATGACACGTGGACAAAGAACAAAGGAACATCAGTTTTGATGAACAAAAACCCATAGGTAGTGTAGACAGATCAAGTATTACAATCAACAATTAGTAGGTGCAGAAAGACTTTGTGATACCATAGTTCCATGACAAAGACAAACAATGAAGGGACCAAAAAGGACAAACATGAAACCTTAACTATCTGTTGTATATATAGCCAATTGGGCTACAATGTACGAGAGAGCCATTCTGAAAGCCATAAAGAAAAACTTAGGCAATGTAAAGGCTTCAAGCCAAACACCCTAGAATAACAATCTTATTTCGCAAGTAATATGATCTCCAAGGAGCTAAAGTCTCTATTACAGTGGACATAACCTTAGTCATTCAGCTAAAGTGAACCATTTATATTTTTGTCTACTTCTTGCATAATACATATAACATTCACACTCACGTTTTCTCATATACACACACTTTTTAGGCTTCACCTAAGGGTGTTCTACAACTTGGTCCAATTAATTTCAAGCACTATTAATGGCTATCAAAATTTAAAATAAGATGGCCATCGAAATAAATAAAAAAAAAAAGCTTAAAATTGTTTAATTTTAATGTTAAATCTAAAAAAATGACCAAAAAAAATAAAAATAAATAAATCTAAAACACAGGTTGTGGGCTATCTTTCTCTTCAATTCATTCGAATCAATCTTAATTGAAATATAATTAACTTAATATAGATTGATATTTTTGACAATTAATTTGGATTCAAAGTGAGATACTATATATCATATTTCACCGATTCGGACTTTTGATATATTTATATCCTATTCGATTATGAGTGTATTTTTTTACCTAATATTACAGTTAAAAAATTAAAATTTTAATTTATAAAAATAAAATTACGGTCGAGATTAATCTATTTTTTATTTGATAAAATGGTACAAAATTCATCCAATTTTTTTTTCTTGTTCAAAAATATCATATTCTTTATATTGATCCTGGTGTCAAACAATGCAACATATATACTCCCCAATACTAAACAAATCTAGTATCCACACCTACCTTTTTTTCATATCTCTCTCTTATTTTATCTATACTTATTTTAATTTTAAATTCTATAATTAAATAAATTTATTATTTAATATCAATATTTAATTTTTTATATTACAAAATATCTTTAGACACAAAATTATTACTAGCATAAATATGCAATAGAAAATGGTTATAAAGTCAAATTGAATTAAAATTTATATCTAAATTAAATATATCAAATATTTTAATCATAAATTAAAAAAAAACAAATAGTTATGGCCAACATAAATATGCAATATAAAATAGTTATCGAAGTAATTGAATTAAAATTCACATATAATTTATCAAAATTTAATTTAATTAAGTTATTTTTGATCTTATTTGATTTTTTAACTATTTTAGATATAAATTATAAAAATAAATTCAAATTAAAGTTTTTAAATTAAATTAAGTTTCAGATGAGGCCAAATCACCAAATCCAATCCTAATTTGATGAGGTACATGCCATTATATATACGTCAGCACCACCACGATGGTTCTTGGTTGATTTTCTCTTCCCTTTTAGGGTTTTGTCTAATATTCATTACGGTCCCCAGATAGAACAATTTTTTCCCATCTCTCACCTAGCTTTCTCTTTCTATTTCTCTCCTGAACCCTAGTTTTTTTTTTCTTCTTCATTCATCACATACCCACCCAACGTTCGATAAACTTTTCTACGTCTTGATCACTCTGAGGCGTTTGGTATCGGTGGAGATTCAGTGTGAATCGGTGATTCCAATTTAGCATCAAGGACGCTCGGATTGAGACTCCCGTTGGACGATTTCAACGTAAGATTGAGAAAAAGATTGGGTTTGTGCTATGAGTTTTCAATTGGTGAATAAATTCGTGGTTTTTATTTTTGCTCCGATTTTTTTGTACACATATTTCAGTTGATGCTTGATTATGTTCTTGTACCGATTTTTCTCTCTATTCAGTGTTTATTAGCATAAAAGTTGATGGAATCGAAGTTATGAAGAATCGTAAATAGTTTGTTCAGTTTTTCTTGCACTGTTTAGGTTATATGATAATGCTATTCTGGTTTAAAATGGATCTGAAATTGCAATTCTGGTTTTTAATCCCATGCCACTTATGTGAGCCATCAGATCCTTATGGTTTTGTGTTTGAAGTGCTTTCAAGATGGATTTTTAAAAAGGACTCCAGTTTTAAGCTGAAGCAGGTGAAGATAATGGGATATTTTTTCTTGTGGATGTGGAGCCCTTAAGTTTTAAGGAGGAGTTGCTGAGCTCCAATGCCACTGCATTAACTTTGGAGGCTTAGGTGGATGACCGCCTGGTGTGGGATCATAATGGGATTCATTGGATCTCAGTGTTTAGAGGTTGTCGTGGTTTTGTCTATAAGAACTTAACTTTTGACAACATGCAAAATATCCACTTTAGTATCAGTGTACTACTCTATCATCATGTAGTCATGATTGAGGTCTTGACAGTCATGTTTCCTCTTTCTTTCTTAGTATTGATGTGCCAGTTGTAACCATGCTTTGAATAAGTCATGTGTGCAAGGTTGATGGAGAATGTGTGAGTCACCGTCTTGATATTGGGTGTAGTTGGAATTTGGGTTGCTCTTCTTATGTTATTTTATTACTGTCCCTTTTTTTTTTTTGTCCTGGTTAGTTGTACTTTTATTGTGGTGATTGTTCAAGAAAACTTGCAGGGACATCAAGATAGGTTATTGGCAAGTGGTTCCATTGTGTCCCTTTTAGTACATTCAGAAGGAGTATAGACCCTCGCATATCTTGTATGTGTCAGGTGGTGACCCTTGAAATTGTAATTAAATAGATTGGCTGTTTTAAACCCTATGAATGAGTGGCTAGTTGTATGGATGTTCGTTTTTGTGTTATCATATCGCAGTGTTCCCCTAGAACCATAACTAGATGCTAATGCAGCTTGGTACAAGTTTTTTTTAGGGAGATAAACTCATAATTACTATGTTGAGATATCAGGTTTTTGGTGTTTTGATAATTGTGTGGTTATGCGTTTCGTAACACATGTGGATTCTGTATACAGAAGCAACTAATTTAAACAAAACTTAATTAACTTAAGAACATATATTCATTTGTAATCCTAATATTCTGTAATTGATGTTTTTGGGTTGCTTATGATGTGCATGTTTTGTAAATGGCCAAGAATTTATAGTAAATTAGCACGTACTTCGTACGTCCTAGCATCACTCAGGTCTCATTGATTGTTGTAGTAGTGTTGGTGTTATGGTTCTAGGCTCTTTGCCATGCATCTACTTGGTGACCGTGTTTGGGAGGATGGACACTTTTTGACCCTCAGATAGTATGATAGATTTGTTATGTAATGGTTCCACTGCAAGATGCGTTATTTGTGCACTAAGAGAGTTTGAAAAGGGATGTTTCGGGGAGGAATTTCGTTTTAGTGGAGTCCTGTAAAAGGGGAGGCGAAGTCATGAAGTTTGTTTTTGGGTTCATGATAGCATAACAATATCTGTTTGTGCATCCATTACAGGAGAGGTTTTCAATCATCCTGCTCCTGAAACTTCTGAACGATCATCAAGAGCTTTGCAGGGGTAACACTGACGGGTCTTGGGAGAAATGGATCCTGGTCGCTATGGTCTTCAGCAAGGATGGGAAAATAACAGCGTAATTGTGGTTTCCTTCTTAATCACATATATGGGATGATATACAAGAAATTAGGGCTCATGTGATTGTCCTTTTTTTTCGGGCATCTCATCCTTAAAGAACAATGAGAGAAAGCCATGGGCAGTGAGGATGTGGAATGGATTACCCTATCTTGTACCATGATTATTGCTTGCTGACATAGCTTATTCTCTTGAATCCACAGGCTTTGGAGGGGTATGCTGCAGTCCATGAGCCAAACTTTCGGTGAGTGCTGACTGATGCTCATCACCAAAAGGGTAATTTAGTTGCTTGTGGGTAATGTGGTAATCTTAATTCTTAAGATGTTTGTTTGGCATCTTTTCTTGTGAAGTGCTTTTGTATGTATTTCAAGCTGACAGATATGTTATGGATTTGTGATTAATGAAATTTTGCTTTTCATGTGAATGTAAATTACGATCTTTTATATCTTACCAATAATTTTTTGAAACTTCTCATTTTTTTATATTACTTTATCTTTCTCCTATTTGCCTCCACCTTATGGTTTGTTGGCAGGGGTGGTGGTTCCCATGATGATAGGAGGTTTATAGATGAGAGATTCTCAAGGGACAGCATTTATCCAAGGAATGCCTTCCATCGGGACGTACTGGAGAGGGAGCACTATCCACCTCCGCCACATGCAGTTGGTCTTTGGCCTCAGACAAGGAAGAGAAGTTATGATGAAGAATATCCACTTGATAGGGATTCAAGGCGACATGAGAAGCCTTATGCTGATTCATATTATGAAATAGACAATTTGCGTGGAGCTGACACATTACATGAATATGATAAGTATCGAGATGGCTATCGTAATATTGATAACTACCGAGTTGACGGGTTTGACAGGCCTACTAGGTGTGGGGGTCGTGACCGTGACGATTATGCATATGATGATTATGATTACAGATCTCGTGTCTCTTATCAGAGCAAGGAGGGTAGCCGTGAAAGGGATTATGATTATGGCAGAAATAGTTATGATTCTGACTATGATAGAGGTAGGAGAGAGAGTAGCTGGAGGAGGCGTGATTCCCGTGATCGTGAACGTGACAAGAGAGATTTGAGTCGAGAAAGGGATGAGAGTCCATATAGAAGGCATGAACGATCTCGGTCTCGTGGACATGATGATCGCCTAAGGTCAAGGTCTCCACGAGGTCGAAGTCACAGTCGAAGTCATAGAGAGGACAGCTATGATGATGTCCGACATGAGAGGAATGAGAAGCGAAGGGATCGCGAAGAAAAAAGGCATGACCATTATTCTGTGGTATGCTTCATTTTATAATTGTGCATGTACTCCATTGTGTTTTGCCGGTGTGTAGTTCAAGGGTTTTAGCAGGAAGTCTTTTCTTTTGTAGGCTCCGTCTGCTACTGTTGTTGTGAAGGGTCTCTCTCAGAAGACAACTGAGGAAGATTTATACCAGATCCTTGTATGGTTTTGCCTTACCTTTCTTCTATATTTCGAATTACTGGACATTTGTAAATTATTCTTCGTTTACCTCATCCATAATGTCTCTTCTATCTTTACCTTCATCAGGCTGAATGGGGACCACTTCGGCATGTCCGTGTGATCAAAGAACGAAATTCTGGCATTTCTCGTGGATTTGCTTTTATTGATTTTCCTTCGGTGGTATCGATCATGGATATCCTGTTAAAATTTGAATTTTTTATTTTCTGTATGGCAAAAGATAGAAGCTTTTTGTTGATAAACAGGGTGCAGCACGGGCAATGATGGATAGACTTGGAGAGGATGGTCTTGTTGTGGATGGTCGGAAGCTCTTCTTTGAGTACAGGTACACGTGTTTGCTTACAAAAGTAACGTGGAATTTTTTTTGATGGCACTTCATGAAACAAATATTTCATAAGAGACTAAAAATTAAGGTGTCTTTTTTGTTTGTCTATTTACCTATGCGCTTTTGCATTTATACCCTAGGAATTTTCTTTGGTGGAATGGAACACAAAAATTTAGTGAGATCATTGATTTCTTTTTACCTTAACATATACATTTCTTTGTAACATGTCTGATTGCCACTTCCTGGTGCTTTCATCTTATCTAAATTGGGTAATGCCTTTCTTTCATCATATTTTTGAGCAATTGAATTCTTTATCTCATTGGTTTCTAAACGTGAGAGATTAGCCTGGGCTCAACTTGGTGTGATTTGAGCCATATCTCTCACTTGTCAATTAAAAAATTTTATAATTGCCTTTCAAATGTTTTCCACCTGTTGCATTCTTCTGTATTGTGAAACCTGTCTTGTAGCAAATACCTATTTTGTGTGAATCCCATTTTGAAATTTACTTGAAGAGTTGTAGGTGCAATTATTGTAAACTGTGACTTTGTTATGTTGCAGTAGTAAGCCCACTGGGGTGGGTGACAGACCTTTTGGACAAGACAATGCATCAAGATCCGGGCATGGAAACCATAGAAGTATCACTGTGCCATCTGATTGGATGTGCACCATCTGTGGCTGTGTCAATTTTGCAAGGCGGACATCTTGTTTCCAGGTGGTTTTTTTATCTTTCCCCTTTCTTCTGTCACTGTTACTGTATGAAGTTTGCCCCTACTGTCCATGTAAAAGACTTCACATTTTTGACCACTTAAAACAAAAGAATTATCCAGATAAAAAAAACAGCGGGATCATTATTGGGTGTTAGCTTGATGTCTAGGTATTTCTTACATGATTTTGAATAGCAGATGGTAGCACCAGAAATCTTGTGCAATTATTAAGTGAGACTTCATTCCAAGGGGTTGAACTAATGGCTCCACTTTGTACCCCTTTTGGATTCATATTCAGTGNTGTTGTTGTGAAGGGTCTCTCTCAGAAGACAACTGAGGAAGATTTATACCAGATCCTTGTATGGTTTTGCCTTACCTTTCTTCTATATTTCGAATTACTGGACATTTGTAAATTATTCTTCGTTTACCTCATCCATAATGTCTCTTCTATCTTTACCTTCATCAGGCTGAATGGGGACCACTTCGGCATGTCCGTGTGATCAAAGAACGAAATTCTGGCATTTCTCGTGGATTTGCTTTTATTGATTTTCCTTCGGTGGTATCGATCATGGATATCCTGTTAAAATTTGAATTTTTTATTTTCTGTATGGCAAAAGATAGAAGCTTTTTGTTGATAAACAGGGTGCAGCACGGGCAATGATGGATAGACTTGGAGAGGATGGTCTTGTTGTGGATGGTCGGAAGCTCTTCTTTGAGTACAGGTACACGTGTTTGCTTACAAAAGTAACGTGGAATTTTTTTTGATGGCACTTCATGAAACAAATATTTCATAAGAGACTAAAAATTAAGGTGTCTTTTTTGTTTGTCTATTTACCTATGCGCTTTTGCATTTATACCCTAGGAATTTTCTTTGGTGGAATGGAACACAAAAATTTAGTGAGATCATTGATTTCTTTTTACCTTAACATATACATTTCTTTGTAACATGTCTGATTGCCACTTCCTGGTGCTTTCATCTTATCTAAATTGGGTAATGCCTTTCTTTCATCATATTTTTGAGCAATTGAATTCTTTATCTCATTGGTTTCTAAACGTGAGAGATTAGCCTGGGCTCAACTTGGTGTGATTTGAGCCATATCTCTCACTTGTCAATTAAAAAATTTTATAATTGCCTTTCAAATGTTTTCCACCTGTTGCATTCTTCTGTATTGTGAAACCTGTCTTGTAGCAAATACCTATTTTGTGTGAATCCCATTTTGAAATTTACTTGAAGAGTTGTAGGTGCAATTATTGTAAACTGTGACTTTGTTATGTTGCAGTAGTAAGCCCACTGGGGTGGGTGACAGACCTTTTGGACAAGACAATGCATCAAGATCCGGGCATGGAAACCATAGAAGTATCACTGTGCCATCTGATTGGATGTGCACCATCTGTGGCTGTGTCAATTTTGCAAGGCGGACATCTTGTTTCCAGGTGGTTTTTTTATCTTTCCCCTTTCTTCTGTCACTGTTACTGTATGAAGTTTGCCCCTACTGTCCATGTAAAAGACTTCACATTTTTGACCACTTAAAACAAAAGAATTATCCAGATAAAAAAAACAGCGGGATCATTATTGGGTGTTAGCTTGATGTCTAGGTATTTCTTACATGATTTTGAATAGCAGATGGTAGCACCAGAAATCTTGTGCAATTATTAAGTGAGACTTCATTCCAAGGGGTTGAACTAATGGCTCCACTTTGTACCCCTTTTGGATTCATATTCAGTGTTTAACATGCACTGTGCAGGATTTAAATTGTTTGTTTTCCTTCTTTTTTTTTTTTTGGCATGCCTAAAGATCATTTTGGACAGATCGATGGTGAGTTAAATGGATTGTGTGCTTGAAGCATCTATGTGGATGTACCAAGACACGGTGGTCTCTTTTCTTAATATATGTCTTGGAAATCATATTTTGCTGATATCCATGCCACTATATATGGACTGCTTTGCAATGTCTCTGTTGATACAAGATAGGTAGATATGTTTTGTCAATCTATCTATTTGCATAGAATGCGTGTGTGTGCGCATGAATATGCCTTGCAGTTGTCCATTAGAACCGGAGAGTCTAGATTTGCTCTTGTGGCTTGTAGATCTGATTGATAATTATGAATTTATGTAAATCTGATGTGGCATCTTGAGGGTGAGATGACTGTTTGAATTCTTTTTGCTGCTGATCAAAATTGTGAAATTACATTGTATTGTTTGATTCAATTATTTTGGGTAAAATTTAATGCAAGTATAGGAAGACACTGCTTTTAATTTTGACTTGCATTATTTGGTCCAACTAAATGAGAGTAATTTCCTCTTGAAAGATGGGCTTTTGTGATACATGACATGGCATTTTCTAATTTTAATCAGTCCATGTCCTTGGTTCTTTTTTGCTCTATGTGGAAGCAGTGTAATGAGGCACGAACAGACGATGCTCCTCCAGCAGATATGGCATCATCAAATCCTACCCCTACTGGGAAGAAAGGAGATGCAGGTTGGTTTTTCTGTTGCTTTTTAGCTAGCATGCATTCCGTAGGGGAACCAATTTCTAAGTTGATATATTATCAGGTCCTACCCATGTTTTGGTTGTCCGCGGGTTGGATGAAAATGCTGATGAGGAAATGCTTCGTTATGAGTTTTCCAAACATGCTCCAATCAAGGTACAAGATGCTCGTTCATTTGTTGATGTTATGTTTTTTCTTCGTTTGTGTTCAGAAGCTTTACTGACATGGAGTTTACAGGATCTTCGACTTGTCAGAGACAAATTTACTCATGTTTCAAGGGGATTTGCTTTTGTTCATTTCAATTCGGTATGATTATTTTTTGTTGTTGAGCCAGTTTACCCCTTACAAACACATACAAAAATATGAGTATCTGTATGGTTGAACTTATACTGTAGTAGATTTGGTCGTAATCAGTAGGTAGCTATTTGTGATATGTTTTTACATACGGTGTTATTGTGTGCCTCTAAATTTCCCCTCTTTTGCAAAATGAATAGTTTATGTCTTTGCTTATGTTGTATTTGTATGACTGCTTAGCAAAATTTCAGTTTCTGTAAAAACTACATGCTTTTGAACGTTTTACTTTTTGCTGAAGCATATTGAGATTGAACTGTAATTGTAGTTTTGATGTTTCTTGTTCTTCAGGTTGAGGATGCCACCAAGGCCCTTGAAGCAACAAATGGGACAACTCTTGAGAAGAATGGACAGATTCTACGAGTTGCATATGCCAAAAGTATTCTTGGACCAGGGTCGGGGGCATCAGGAACTTCTCATTCCAGCAGTCTTGCTGCTGCTGCAATTGAGGCAGCCACATTTGCTCAACAAGTAATATGTCTTATCTCTTTTTGTATTATTTGCGTGACATGGTTTATAGTTATCAATGGTCAATTGTTTAATTTTTTTTATAAATATCAGAGTGCAGGATTTCCTGTTAATCAATAATCAGTTTTTTGCTGGGAACTACATTAGTATCAGTCAGGAAATCCAATGATACAGTAGTTCCCAGCTGACAAATGATGTAGTGGATCCAGTCTAACCCACTTCTATACCTGCATACTCTCTCACTAACTTTTATGCCTCTCATTCCTCTCCAGTTGTATTTAGTTATCCATGACACATTTCTACGAGTTTATATATAGGGTCCAACTACAGTAGTTAACTGTTGCTTGTAGGCCTAGATATTATTCCATCTTTGATTAGATGAAAATATCAGTAAGTGGTTAATAATGTTTTGCCTGGTGTTGTCCTTGTCCCTAGAAATGAAGCTTAGGCAAGGCTTGGGGCCTAAGAACCTAGGTGTGAGGCCTAGGTTGTCTATTCTTCTCTGCTTTTTTGTTTTTCTTCTGTGTTAACATTCGGAATTTTTAACCCTTAAAGGCCCAGAAACATGTCTGATTAACATATCTGAACTTTACTCCTTAAAGGCCCAGAAACATGTCAGTTTACTTTTGTTTTTCCTTTTAAAACCTTGCTAAAGTAGTTATTCAACCCTAGCCCACCAGAAGATCCTGAAGCAAGCCCAACTATTCACACCACTAACCACATCTGCCAATTCACATTGTCTTAGTTTAGATGTCGTCCCCAACTGCCCCCCTTGTTCGCTTACATTCCCTCTGTCTAGGTTCAGCTGTTGAAACTCAGCCATCTTTCCCGTTCTCTCTTCCTGGCTTTATACACCTGTCAGTGGTCCTTGGCCTGTGCTGAAGATTAGGGTAATTTAGCAGAGGGGATTCTCCTAAATGGTAAAACCAGGAAGTAGTAAGTATACTGTACAGAAATGCAGTCTCTCACACAGTCACACATACACAACAGTTACTTAAAGATATATTCCTGGTTGGTTGTCTTTAATTGTAGTGTTTTTTTGACATACTTCTTTGATCCTTCCTAGTATGATGCTGTGGGATGGGCACCTAAAGAATATAATCCAGATGACAAACAATCTGCTGGTGGGCAGGAGCAGAGGGGAGAGCTTGCAGGTCAAAAGGATGCTTCAGCTCCACAATCTGGTTTTGTGTGGGATGAAGCATCTGGCTATTATTATGATGCTGCTTCTGGGTTCTATTATGATGGGAATACAGGTTGGAGTCTTGTTTGTCTGCATCCTGCTGAGGCTGCCTTTGAATATATTTGTTTTGCATATGTTAGAAAATAAGTGTTGTATGCTTTGCACACTTTATAAATAAATGTGTACTGACCCTTATGACATATTAAAAATAAATGTTGTATGTATTACAGCATATTCACCACTTTGATATTGAAATTATTTGTTTTAAGGGGAGGGTCCTTCCAGTAGCTTCATATAAGGGTCCTTGTTTCTTCACCATGGTTGAACTTCTGCATGGACACTAGAATCTTTAGCATTGTTTACTATGCAAGAAATTTGATGATTGCAGCATGGAGCTTTTCTGTTTTGGAGTGTGCGGACAGAGTTTTGAGTATTCACTTTACTGCTTGGGTGACTTGGATGTTTCTGCATTAGTTCATGTCTTTCAGTCCAACTTAGAAGAGATTTAGGGCAGTGCTTGCACTCTTTTTATTTTGATAGATGGGCCATAATTTTGTGTTTGTCAACAGAATTAATTTTGCAGTTTTTCATAGACACATACCATCCTGTTTACTGAACTGAAACTGTGGAACAAACTTGCATATACTTGCATGCTGTTCTGAAACATTGATGTGGGGTGGAATAGCCTTGCTGCACGTGTTGCCTTGATGTTAACAATGGATTCTTTGTAGATATGTGTTTTGCATATGGTGAATATATAGTTTCTGTTAGGAACAGTAGTCATTAAATTTAAACCGGCTATTTTTTTCTTTTCTATAAAGCTATATGTTCATTTACAGATTTAAGTTTTTATACCGATGAATGGCAATGTTTTGTTGAAGCCTTAAAATCTCCCATAATAATCTTGCTCATAGGATGTGATAGTAGAGTGGAAATATGGCTTAGAATGTAACACGCTTTAATTATCTTAAACAAATGCATATCATTGTTCAATTTTGGAGTTTGTTTTGCTATCGAAGAAAGTTTTAGAGAAATAAGAATAGTTTCAAGGATAGGTTCTAAAATTTGGTACTTGTTAAAAATTGTTCTCTTTGAAGGGTTATGATCAATTCGAATTCAAGTGGTGAACATTCTGACCTTTCTGATCAATAAAATTTTGAGGTTCTGAACTTTGACGTTGTAATGTTAAACAGTGAACTAATTTTGTAACATATAGTATATTAGTTAACTGGTTTTCTTTTCAAAACTTGCACCTCTCCCCCCCTCTTTTTCTATCTCACCCACCCAACCCTGCAACCCGCCTTGTTCATACCTTGGAAAGAGGAAATATTTGTACATGCATCTTTTGTGCAGCTAATTGTTTATCTGTTACATACTACTTTTACTGTAGCATGTGTTTGCTTCTCACCATCAATGCCACCCACAATTGTTCTGCTAACTAATTTTCATGCATGATGGATGTAATCCACAGGTCTATATTATGACGGTAACAATGGAATGTGGTACTCTTATGATAACCAAACTCAGCAATATGTCCCCTGCACTGATCAGAATGACAAAACTGCTGACAAACAAACTGATACTTCCAAGACCTCTGAGGCTTCTAATAGTAGAAAAGTAGTAATCTCAGCACCAGCTTCTACCGTATCATCAAATGAGATGGTTGCCTCATTACCAGATGCTGTCCAGGCTGCTGCCAATGCAGCAATAGCTGCAGAGAAGAAAGAGAAGGAGAAGTTGAAGGAGATAAGACTTGCTTCAAAAACCAGTATTCTGGCTAACAAGAAGAAGATGAATAATGTATTGACAATGTGGAAACAAAGAAGTCATGAAGGCCAAGCTCCCCGTGTGGCTCTGGATGGCAGCCAGCCATCTTCCACTGCCGAAGACAGATCCAATTCTGTTGGACCATCTGCAAAGAGCAAGTTCAAAACTGAGGCAGTGATCAGGAAAGAGAATACTGCAGCTACTTCGGCATTTACCACAAGCACATCTGCTCAATCTGTTAGTCTGGAGTCTCAAGATAGGCCCAGACCTTTAATGGGGGTTATCAGGGGGTCTGGAAGGGTGGTGGTGAATTCAGATCCCTTGTATTCAGTAGCATCAGGGGTTGATGCCGCCCCATCATATACAGTTGCATCCTCTGGCGATTCATCTTCATTGACAAATATAGATGCACCTACAACTGCGACGCCCTTTAGAACTGATCTATCTGCATTGGGTTCTTATACACCTCCAGTAGCTGCTGGTGGTGGTAAAAGAAGGTTTTCAGAGATGCCACTACAGTCTGGTTCTTCCCATAAGGAGCAACCTCAGACCGCCTATAGAGATCGTGCAGCTGAGCGGAGGAGCTTGTATGGTTCATCATCTGCTTTCGGAAATGATCTGTCTGACCTTGGAAATAAAGATTCAAGTAAGCTTGGTTAGCCTCTTGTTCAGTGTCATGCTTTATTCTGTGTTATGTGCTCATTTTCCGCATTCTGTTTGTCCCTATGGAAATGCGTGAGATGTGGAGTCATTGCATATAGTGATTCCGCTTGTCTTCTATAAGGTGATGTGGGGCTATTGAGAGAGGTAGTTGTGCTATAGTAATCCTTGGTTGATCTCCCCCCTGGATTTCACACTTCCTTGGGTTTATTTTCTCAATTGTTGTACTAAATTGTGAGGAAATTTTTGTTTTTACCATTCCCAAACTTTCAAGATCGAGACACGGCATTGAAGAGGGGTGATGCAATGCCTTTCCCCCCTGGTGTTGGGGGTGGACGTGGTGCTGGTGATGCTAACAGCAATGTTCAGAGCTATGAGGTGATTACAGCTGACAAAGCGCTAGATGAGAGCAATGTGGGCAATCGGATGCTCCGTAGCATGGGCTGGCAGGAAGGCTTGGTACCATTTTTTACTCTCACTTGCATAGATTTCATGGTTACATGCTCTAATTAAACGCACTCTTTCCCTAAATACTCTGACTCACCAGTGCAGTGAAATGGTCCAAAAGTTTCTAACCCTTAATTCATTAGATCATTAATGCATATTCCCCTTTCATATTTTCCAATCTCTGGTTTTCGCCGTATTTCTCTTATGAACAAGGGGCTGCATATTTGGAACAGTATAGTGGCAGGCTGGCCATTTCCTCAATATATTGCAGGATCTGACTTTACATTTGGGTATTGTTGTTTTTGTTGTTTCCTGTATTGATACAATGTCCAGGGATTGGGGAAGGATGGGAGTGGAATGGTCGAGCCTGTCCAAGCACAAGGTATGGAAAAAAGAGCTGGACTGGGTAGTCAGCCGAAGAAGTTGGATCCAAGCCTGGAGGTGCAGACTGGGGATAGTTATCGAACTCTTATTCAGAAGAAGGCCATCGCCAGGTTCCGAGAAATGTCGTAATATGTTTGGTGCCAATTACTGAACTCTGAGGCTCAGGTTCGAGGTTGCTGTGAAACAATGTGGTCTGTGGTGTGTACAATTGCTTTAGGGTTATGCAGCACCTATATTTTAGGTGTCCTGTCTATTATTTTCTTACTGCAATAACTGTTAGCTTATTGTACTGGTAAAAATCTAATATAATGCATTAAATTTTTGGTTTGGCTCTCTCAACTTAACTTGGGAACTTGGTGGGAGGATGTAATTTATTATGACTATTGGATTAGTAATAAGTCTCAATATTGAAAGAAAGTCGCTACCAATTTGAAAATTACTGCAGAGTTAGTGAAGTTGCAAAATTACGCTGTTGTAGAAGTTAATTCCTTTAACCTTTATTTCCCTAATTAGTAGATTTTTTTGTAAGAGAATTTTTGAAAAAAATGAAATTGGTTAGGGTCTGGGTGAGGTGTTTTATAGAATAAACCTAAAACGAGATGCAAACATCTATTTACGGATCAGGTGTTAATCTGAAATCAAATTGAATCTAAATTCGTTTAATTAGAAATAAAATTAAATGTTAATCTATTTAGATCCCTTGATTTGATTTCGGCTTTGGATATATGCTAATTAGAACCTGCAGGATTAACAAGGTGTGAAACTTTTTTTTCTTCGGTTCAAGTAGTTGGGGGGTGTTTGTGATCCACCTATGGGTCATTGATTTGATCGGGCAAAGCATTTATATTAAAATTATGATATTTACAAGATTGTTGGCAGGAAATACAAATTATTCATATTGAAAGTAGGATGTCCGCAGAAAATTGATTTGATCAAATAAATCATTCATATCCAAATGAGAATATTCACGAAAAAGAATGTCCGCAGGAAGATCACACCATGAAAGTTTGTATGCTCACGCTCTCGCACACATGCGCACAACTATTCATAGCTTTGTGATCCCATTCCAGCGAAATTTGAAAGCACAAAATATGTCCATTAGACTTAAACCCGGCAAATCAACCATCCACTTATCTTCAAGCTCTCTCGATAAGTTCATCAAAACCCAGAAAAACCTCTCCAAATCCTACCCAAGACTCTGGTCCGATCAGAAAAACGAAGAACCCAATGACACAAACGATCAAGGGGTGCGCATCTTAAATCTAAGCCACCCAATCCTGTGCATTTTGGACTCATCTGGTCCTTCACTGAAACAATTCAACCAAGTCCACACCCAGCTTATTGTTAACGGCCTCTTTCAACACCCTCTGGCCGCGAGCCGGGTAGTCAAGAAGCTTTGTTATTCGTCTTTTACTGTTCCACATGCCATTGAGTTGTTTTGTCGCCTTGAAAACCCCGATGCATTTATATGTAACACCATTATGAGAAGCTTTGTGAATTCGAATGACCCAGAAAACGCTTTAACTTTTTACTATCATCAAATGGTTGGAAAATGTGTTCTGCCCAATCATTATACGTTTCCCATATTGTTAAAGGCTTGTGCCGAGATGGGGTTGGTGAGAGAAGGGGAAAAGATTCAGGCCCAGATTTTGAAAGTTGGGCTTGAGCTGGATTTGTTTGTCCGGAATGTGCTGATTCATTTGTACTCTGTTTGTGGTAGAATTTGGGATGCAAGAAAGGTGTATGATTTGAGTTCTGAGTGTGATTTGGTGACTTGGAATTCGATGATTGATGGGTATGTAAAAAATGGGGAAGTGGGTTTTGCACGTTGGTTTTTTGATGAAATGCCCGACAGGGATGTTTTTAGTTGGAATTCTATGATTGCAGGGTATGTGGGAATTGGGGATATGGAGATGGCAAAGGAGCTATTTGGACGAATGCCGGTTAGGGATGTTGTTTCTTGGAATTCTTTGATCGATGGGTATGCAAGGATCAGAAATATTGCGGCTGCCCGTGAGTTTTTTGATCTGATGGATTGCCGTAATGTTGTTTCTTGGAATACCATGTTAGCTCTGTATGTGCGCTCCAAGGATTATTGTGAGTGTTTGAGATTGTTTGATAGAATGATGGAAGCAGCAGATGCTAAACCTAATGAGGCTACTCTTATGAGTGTTTTAACTGCGTGTGCACACTTGGTGAGACTTGATTTAGGTAAGTGGGTCCATTCTTATATAAAAAACAATAGGGAACTTGAACCTGATGTGTTACTTTCAACCGCTCTCTTGACAATGTATGCCAAATGTGGGACTATGGATTTGGCTGAGGATGTATTTGATAAGATGACTGACAAAAGTGTTGTATCATGGAATTCTCTGATTATGGGGTATGGAATGCATGGGTACGGCCAAAAAGCTCTCGAAATGTTCTTGGAGATGGAGGATAGTGGAGTGAAGCCGAATGATGCTACTTTTATATGCGTTCTAAGTGCATGTACTCATGCAGGAATGGTTTTGGAGGGTTGGTGGTGCTTTGACCTCATGCATCGAATTTACATGATTGAGCCAAAGGTTGAGCACTACGGTTGCATGATTGATCTTCTTGGACGAGCTGGCTTGACCAAACATTCTGAAGAGCTTGTCAGTAGGATTCCTATGGAGGCAGGACCTGCTTTATGGGGAGCTTTTCTTTTGGCTTGCGGAACGCACTCAAATCTAGAGCTTGGAGAGATTGTGGCCAAGCGGTTGATTGAGTTGGAACCAGGGGATATTGGGCCCTATGTGATGTTATCAAACATATATGCTTCAGCAGGGAGATGGGGTGATGTGGAAAATGTGAGAAACATGATGGCGAAAAAGGGGTTACAAAAAGAGGCAGGATCTAGCCTTGTGCATTATGGCGATTGTGGGACTAAATATTTTCAGGGAAATGTCCATAGAAGGAACTTGCTGTACTCCATGTCGAGGGAGATGGGTACTCAAATAAAATTGTCATGCAGGAATATGGTAGGGTAGATGAAGTGTTTCTCCAATGACGGTTACGACTTATGATCATTGGAAAGATTTGGTGAAGGCTAGTAATGTAAGTTAAAAATTTGCTGAAGTAACAAGAGTGATGAGTAACATTTTACTTCTCCAAAGATTGCAGATGCACAGACATTGAAACTGGAAAAGGAATTCTGGACATGCAATCGAAGTTGTAAGAAGAGTAACTATGGCCATGTTTTAGCAGATGATCCAGCCATCTAACAAAATTGTAGAATGAATAAGCTAAAGGGGTGAAAGTTGTCCAGAAGAACTATTTTTCAGATCAGTGGTTGACTTTATTGCGGGTGATTCATAAAAATCAAGCAATGGCCTGTTTCTTTCAGGGAGTACTTTTGAGAATGAAGAGTGGGTTGATTTTGTTTTAAAATGGGTACTGGTTATGATTTAATAAAAAATATGGCATAGATGACATGGAGTGGCAAATTACATTCATGGCTATCTCATCCTGAGACGAAAGCTACATTGAGCTAAATTTACTGTTACACAAGTCTTCGCATCTGGAATTCCTTATCTAACAGTTGATGCTACTCCAGGTGATGAATACTATAATGGATGTTTTACATTTTTTCGCTTGTGATGTTTGTATTATAAAGACAACAATAACTACAAACTTTTTTCTTTTCATTTCCATTCTCTTCTTTTAACCTTATTTGTTCATTGATTGCATTTTAGTGGGCTTGATTTACTTTTACATTTTCCTTTGGGATCCTGAGCTCAGTGTCCATTGTTGTAATTACTGCAAATATGATGAAACTCTATGAATCATTTTCTTCTCATTACCCAAGATTTTTGTAAAGCTTTTACAATGTGCTTGTTGAACTGTCTATCTGCAAAGGCAGCGAGACATGCCAATACCTTTCAAGGCACAAATGGAACAGGTGCTCTGCTGTGGACGGTTATATAAAAGCATACAAATGTAATACAAATATTATTCTCTAAAATGACTGCCATAATTATGTCAAAGCCATAGGTTTCAACAGTAAAACGATTTTTTTTTTTTAAAAAAAAAAAAGTTAAAGCTTATCTAACATCTGAGGAAGATAAACTTAACCCCCCAAAAAAAAAAAATCAAAGAGAGATAAATAGAGAACATGAAAATGAAAAAATTATGAAGAATGAAGAGTTGCTTAGTTCAAATGGTACAAACTTAAATCAAAGAGCAATGGCTCCCAGTGCCTTAGGCTACACGTTTACTTGGACTCCCGAATCATAAGTTTCTCCAGGTTTCCAATTTTCGGGAATGTTATTTAGTGGAACAACCCATGTCTCGTCTCCATCATCATCGCTGAATAGCATTCTTATGGACAAGGGTCCACTAGGGGGTGAGGTGATTGTCCATACTGCTCCATAACTGCGATCCAATAGCTTGCACACAAAATTTTCTGTCTGCATATCAAATATATAATATGTCAATATTCAAAATGGAAAAATGGAAAAATAAAGAGAAATTGAATTAACTAAGTTTCAATAACAAAGGGAAATTAACTTGCCTAGATTTCAATAACAGAGGGAATATCATGTACGTATTCAAAGTTTGTGGGAAATACCTCACATAGCTGTACAGCAGTGATATCGTTCTTGCCTTGTTGATACCATATTACAAAAGCCAGGTAATAAGGGTAGTTGCTGTTCTCGTCAATCTTGACTGTAATATTTTTGTTTGGGTAGCTGCATGAAATCCTGTTTGGGGGGGAGAGAGGAAGCTCCATGAGTCAGCATATATCATTGTCTTGCATGCGTCTGTTCGAATCTTTCCAATCAAAATTGACGAGAAAAAAATTGCTTATGGTGCATGTTTGTTACGGCATAATGACTTTCCACTAATGAATTTGCACTGATGCATGTTGAAGATACATTTTTAACTGTGTAACCAATTCTAAAGGAAGCATATAGTGCTTCCTTTGGGGAAGCTACCGAAATAGCAATATGGAATTTGAACTCTTACTGCTACCATCTCGTACTTGCTTGAAGTGTGTGAAACTTACCGTTTATATTCAANTTTTTTTTTTTAAAAAAAAAAAAGTTAAAGCTTATCTAACATCTGAGGAAGATAAACTTAACCCCCCAAAAAAAAAAAATCAAAGAGAGATAAATAGAGAACATGAAAATGAAAAAATTATGAAGAATGAAGAGTTGCTTAGTTCAAATGGTACAAACTTAAATCAAAGAGCAATGGCTCCCAGTGCCTTAGGCTACACGTTTACTTGGACTCCCGAATCATAAGTTTCTCCAGGTTTCCAATTTTCGGGAATGTTATTTAGTGGAACAACCCATGTCTCGTCTCCATCATCATCGCTGAATAGCATTCTTATGGACAAGGGTCCACTAGGGGGTGAGGTGATTGTCCATACTGCTCCATAACTGCGATCCAATAGCTTGCACACAAAATTTTCTGTCTGCATATCAAATATATAATATGTCAATATTCAAAATGGAAAAATGGAAAAATAAAGAGAAATTGAATTAACTAAGTTTCAATAACAAAGGGAAATTAACTTGCCTAGATTTCAATAACAGAGGGAATATCATGTACGTATTCAAAGTTTGTGGGAAATACCTCACATAGCTGTACAGCAGTGATATCGTTCTTGCCTTGTTGATACCATATTACAAAAGCCAGGTAATAAGGGTAGTTGCTGTTCTCGTCAATCTTGACTGTAATATTTTTGTTTGGGTAGCTGCATGAAATCCTGTTTGGGGGGGAGAGAGGAAGCTCCATGAGTCAGCATATATCATTGTCTTGCATGCGTCTGTTCGAATCTTTCCAATCAAAATTGACGAGAAAAAAATTGCTTATGGTGCATGTTTGTTACGGCATAATGACTTTCCACTAATGAATTTGCACTGATGCATGTTGAAGATACATTTTTAACTGTGTAACCAATTCTAAAGGAAGCATATAGTGCTTCCTTTGGGGAAGCTACCGAAATAGCAATATGGAATTTGAACTCTTACTGCTACCATCTCGTACTTGCTTGAAGTGTGTGAAACTTACCGTTTATATTCAATATCAACCACACCAAGGGCTAATAGAGAGGCAGCTGCATCTCTAGTTTGAGCCATCCGGCCAAAGGCTCTCCTACTGAGGATAAAGTCGGTGTGATCACTGGCCCCATGATCAGTTATAACTACTGTCACTCCTTTGTCTGAGCAATAGTTACTGTTTGTACACCTCACCTGACAAAACAAAAGAGACGTTGATGATTTAATCATGTACATAGTACCATAAGCAAAGTCATAAATTTTCATTTCGTTGATGTTTCCCTTTCTTTTTTTTTTTTTTTTTTTTTTTTTTTTTTTTGTGGAAATCAATAGTCACCTGGTAGCAAGCACCACATCCTACACCATCTCGATAGAGATCTGATGCTGCTGATACATCCCCAGCATTGATCATCGCCCCAAATGCTCCAAACCCGCATGCCCCAGCTGCAATTAAACCACATATCAAGGGAATAACATCAAGTTATAAGAATATTTACTACTTTGTCATGAATATATATAGTCTAAATCTTACTATCTGTTCCTTGTTCATCAGAATTTGGGTAATAAGCTGCCCTAGAATGAATGAAGCAGTCAGAACATGGCGCGGCATTTCCCAGAGTTAGCAGAAAAAGAAAAGTTGCAGAAAGGATCGAAAGAAACTGGAGGTTAGCCATTGTTGGAATAGAGAGCAGAAGCAATGAAAGCAATGAACAAAGTTGGGTAGTGCATGGAGTGAACAAGGTTTGGACTATTTATAGTGAACTAAAACAAGCAAACCACCTTTTTATGGTAAACAAACGTGTTTGACATTCTGTTCAAGTTCAATTTAATTGAGTTGAATTCTATATAATTGTTTCTTGGCAACCTTCTTAGACTTGGCTTCAAGTTGTTTTTTAGAATGAGAAAACTGCTTTGACATTCTCTGGTCTTTTAGAATGAGAATTGTATTTTTTGTTCCCCTGTTGACTTCTTTCGTACCAAGTTAGCAGAATGTTGGAAATTTATGGAGTATTGTGGTGTGAAATAGGGTATATAAGTGAGCCATTCAAAGTTGGTGATTTATTCAGCTATTCAAACACCAAGTTTCTCTATATCAGCTGGCTCTGACAACAATTTTCCTGTGTTTAAGCCTAGATTTTCCGTGTCCAAGTTCTGCAGTAATTATAAGTGTTTATGTCAAGAAGACATTCATGATAAGAACGAGCTGTAACGATTACATATTAATACTATCTGATTTGAATATGCTAATAATCTGGACCGGGTTTTGCATCTATTGACCCTTGCTTGGATTTGTTAGGTGCTTTTGCACCAAAGAATCTTAAGTGTTTGTTGATGTTCCCACTTGTGCCAATAATCACAAGATGGACTTTGATTTCTTGCGTATGGAAGGTGTAAGGAAATACCCACTGGCCACCCATCTCTTTACTAAATATACACTTTGCTCACACTGCAAGTATTAGGTCGTAGTTCACTTTTGCTAGCAAACTGAGTGTGTTTTCTAGAGCAACTTCTAGCTAGACAAAATGCAGGCTGGTGATATCTACAACTCTCTCTCTCTCTCTCTCCTTCTCTCTCTCACACACACACAACTTTGTGAATGTGTTCTTGTCGACATTGCTTCCATTGAAACAGATAGAGCTGATTTTATTTTATTTTTTTGAAAGTTTTGCAGCCATGATCATGGGTCCCTGTTCTTTAATATGCAACAATGATCACTATAGCACAAGTTGTTGCCTATTCTTCATAGTTATTGACTAGCAAACATCATAATGTCTATGCATTACAAATAAGAGATCTTATATTTTACATCGAATAATTAGGACCATTAAAGTTGGTTTATATACTAGAGCCCCACCCCACCTATAGCCAATTGGTTTTGGATTGAATGCTCTAACAATTACTTTTTGGTTGAAAAGTGATTGGGGCACATGAAAAGCAACAAAATAATAAGTTCTCCATTTTAAACACTTCATCCACTTAGTTGTAGTGTGCTTTGATGATTGTAAACTCTTTTTAGAAATGGGTTGGAAGCACGAGGATAATGGCTACATGTGCACAAATAAGGTTTCAAGTTTTGAACGAGTGATGTATTTTGATCTTGACTGTACAATTCTTATCGTGTAACTGTGTTGAGTCGAGTAAAACTCACCCTTAAGCTAGCTCGGAGGATTTGGCTATGTCTCGCCAACATTGAACGCATGCATGGATGGCTCAACATTTGTAAAACTGCCCTAAATACTTGATACTTTCTATTTTACAAAGTTTATGACGCATTTCAAGCAAGGATTGAACAACAAGACCGAAGTATGTTGAAGAAAACAGAAAAATCTGTTTTCCACCTTCGAAATTCGCCATTGGGGAAATGCAGCCATGCACAAAGCTGTTGTTTTTTTTTAAAAAAAAAACAGGGGAATGGGAGCTTGTTGATCTCTTGTGGAGTGTTTTTCAGTAAGTTCGCCAATAGATTGAATATTAATACAAACCCGATCCAAATTCATGATTATTTAGAGATAAATACTTATTTTGTCCAATTATTCAAATCTATTATATCATAAAAGATCTGAATTTGAATTTATTAATATCCAATTCAATAATATTTTGATTAGAATTTAAGGCAAACCAACTATATATAGATATTTCAAGCAAGGACAAACCAAAAACAGTGTGCCCCACCAGGTGATGAACGACCTGCCGCGTGATTGTTTATGTCTTGTATATCCTGTCGATGGATTAAGTTTAAATTGAATTTCGACCGATCTAAATTTGAATTTGAATTCAAAAGTTCAATTTGAATATGATAATCTGATGGATTGTATTTTTTGTAATTCATATCAAAATCTTTTAGCAATTTGAAATTCAATCCAAAAATCCAAATAACTTAATTAATTAAATTTTAATAAATTATACATAAATTTCTTGGAAATTTATATAACAATATATAAATAATTCGATCAAATGGAAATCGGATCGGATGATATATTCAAACCTGAATTCGTGAATATAAGATATCAGATTTGAATTTTTTTTTTTTGACAGATCAGATTTAAATTCAAGTTTGAAATATTGGTAAAAAATATTAATTCAGATCCGATTAATGAGATTCAGATTCGAATCAAAATCCAACCATTTCCACAGGCCTAGTCTTATATGGTAAGTTGGGCCAGGTGTTGACCCAATCAAGACCCATGAACCGTAATTTCTTTGTGGCCAGTGCAACCTGCGACTTTGGTTGAAGACCAGTATTTGAGAAAGCGAGTGAGAGAGAAGAATGACGGAAGAGCAGGCATCGGACAAAGACACACCCGACTTTTGGAAAGAGAAGAAGATGCCTTGAACAAATATCTGGGAGCATACCCTCCACTTCCGATAAGTATTAGGGTTTGAATCAATTCCAATCTCTCTTTTAGACAATTTATCAAACAGGTTTGGGGTTTATCAAACAATGTAAGTTCATGCACGTCCTCAAAAGACCCTAATATATCCACTCTCTGAAACAGATTTTGTTGAAGTTCTAGTGTTTTTTTTACTGCTTTGCATAAAATCTGCTCTATCGCATTCTTTGAAGCCCCTCTCAGCAATGACATGAACAGGTGATTTCAAAACTCTCCGATGCATCGACGCCTAGCTGTTTTTCGTTATGGGGTTCTCACAAATTCCCCACTTTCTTATCTGAATAGGAGCAATATATTACACACCCCCCTGAGTAGTTTGAATCGCAGAAATAATGCGTCCGCTTTGTTTCGAGTATTTATGTACACTTCGACGCAGCACCGGCGAGTTCCAGACCCCAATAACATATCCGACTTAATGAAGGAAGATGGTGTTTCTGTTTGTTCTCGAATGTGGATTGAGAACTTTCAAGAACCCGAAAAAACTGTGACCAATTTGGCTGATTATCTGAGGAGATTTGAATTATGGGTATTGGCTTACCAGAAGGTTTGTGCTGATGAGATGGGTGCATATATGCCCCGCAGTGCCATAACAAGGTCGGCTCTTGAGGATTTGTTAGCTTTACGGAATGCAGTTCTTGACAATAGGTTTAAGTGGGGAGCTAGGTTGGAGTTTTTCCTGAAGTCTCCGAAGGACAAGACTGAGTATGAGTCGTTATCGAAGAGGAAAATCAAGGCCATTTTGACTACTACACAGCCAGCTCCATTTCAAGATAGGATAGTTCAGGAGGTGTTGTTCATGATTTTGGAGCCGATTTATGAGGGGAGGTTTTCCCAGAAATCATTTGCATTTAGGCCAGGAAGGAATGCACATACAGTGCTGAGGGTTATTCGGAGGAGCTTTGCAGGTTATCTGTGGTATATAAAAGGGGATTTGAGTACTGTCTTAGACGGAATGAAGGTTGGGATGGTGATAGGCGCTCTAATGAGGGATGTCAGAGATAAAAAGGTGATTGATTTGGTAAAGATGGCATTGACTACGCCAGTGATTACTAGTAAGGTTGATGAAGGTGAGAAGAAGAAAAAAACGAAGAGAAAGTATCAGAAGAAGAGAGTGTTAGCAGAAGATGAGCCGAAGCCTGACCCATATTGGTTAGACACCTTTTTTGGGTTTGCTCCTGAAGAGGCTGAGAAATTGCCTAATTGGGGGCATTGTGGCATTCTTAGTCCTCTTTTGGCTAACATATGCCTTGATGAACTGGACCGTTGGATGGAGGGTAAGATCAAAGAACTCTATCGACCTTCAAAGAGTGATGTCATATGGAATAGTCCAGATGGGGAAGTGGAGCAGGGGAATACATCTTGGCCAGAATTTGTTCCCACAAGTGGACCAGATAAGACGCGGAAGATTGATTATGTGCGTTATGGTGGGCACATTCTCATTGGAGTTAGGGGACCTAGGGCGGATGCAGCAACATTGAGAAAGCAGTTGATTGAGTTTTGTGATCAAAAATATCTGCTGAAGCTTGATAATGAGAGTCTCCCTATTGAACACATAACTAAAGGTATAATGTTTCTTGACCATGTTTTGTGCCGTAGAGTTGTGTATCCTACTCTTCGGTATACAGCAACTGGCGGGAAGATCATCAGTGAGAAGGGTGTGGGCACTCTATTATCGGTTACTGCAAGTCTGAAACAATGCATTAAACAATTTAGGAAGTTGAACTTTCTCAAGGGCGATAGAGACCCAGACCCCCAGCCGTGTTTTAGAATGTTCCATGCCACCCAAGCTCACACAAATGCACAGATGAACAAGTTGTTGTCGACAATGGTTGAGTGGTATAGATATGCTGACAATCGGAAGAAAATTGTCAACTTTTGTTCTTATATCATAAGGGGTTCACTTGCGAAGCTCTATGCAGCAAAATACAAGCTTCGCTCACGAGCAAAGGTGTATAAGATTGGTGCTAGGAATCTGAGCCGTCCGTTGAAGGAGAAAAAAGGGCAGTCACCGGAGTACCATAATTTGCTGAGAATGGGTCTTGTGGAGTCAATTGATGGGCTTCAGTATACCAGGATGTCTCTTGTGCCAGAGACAGATTACACCCCTTTTCCAATGGGTTGGAGACCTGATCATGAGAAGGCATTGCTTGAATATATAAAGCTGGATGATCCTCAAACTCTAGAGGAGCAACGGTGCTGCCTCAGAGAACAAGGTCTGATTTCGCCTCAGGATTACATTTCAATGCTAGTTTGGAACTATAAAAGGAATGCCATTGCAGTGGATCAGCTTTCCACCACAGGAAGTGGTGGGAAAAACTTACAAACAGGAAAAGAGTTGCTGTTGGACTTGACCTACAAAGATGCTGAGCAAAGATCAGGGGATGAGGAAGACAAAGAAGAAAGGGTTCATGCAGCACAAATGTAAGATAACAGTTATGCTTTCTGCTTGTAAAGGTGATTGCTTATTAGCAAGCGTTTTGACTGGCTAGAAAGGCAAACTAAAGAATTGTTTTTTTTCCTTCTGTAGTGATTCAGTATCCTGTTTTATGACTGCTAATGTATCGCATTGCCTGTATAACTTCATTGTATTTATTTACTTTGATATTCGGAAATTTTTAAAGTTGTGAACCAAATAAATAAATATCATCTGCTTTTTCAATCAGTAGCTCCGGCGTTCTTCAGCCCAAATGACATGACTTTGTAGCAGTAAACCCCCATCGGGGTGATAAACGCTGTCTTTTCTTGATCCGGGGGATAGAGAGGAATTTGATGGTATCCTGCTCTGGCATCCAAGAAGTCTATACGCTGGTACCCAGCAGTGGCATCCACCAACTGGTCCACCTTTGGGAGAAAGTAGTCGTCCTTGGAACACATTTTGTTCAGATTAGTGAAGTCTACGCAGACGTGTCATTTCCCCCCTTTTTTCTTCGCGCAGACTGTGTTAAATAACCACTCCAGAAACTGCATCTCCCAGATGGTATCAGCCTCAAGGAGTTTATCGATTTCCTCGTTCACCGTTCGGGTGTGGTGTGGCACCATGCGCCATGACTTCTGCTTTATTGGTTTGTGTGTCGGGTCAACATTTAGCTTATGCATGATTATTTCGGGGTCCACCCCCTTCATTTCCATTGCATTCCAAGCAAACACGTCCGTATTTTGCCTCAAAAAGTCGATCATTTCTTCCTGTTCAGCTGTAGGCATTGCGGTTCCAATTAGAAAGTATCTCTCCTCTTTACCATCCACTAAGAATACCTCTCGGAGGTCTTCTATCGACCGGTCCATTGGATCAGTCCGGGGGTCATCCACTCCTGGACGCCCGAACTGTAATTGTTATTTTTTCAGGATCTCTTCTGGAGCGCGTCCCTTCTCTTGGGTGGAAACCCTCGCTCTCACAGCTGAGTAAAAACAGTTTTTCGCGGACGCTTGGTCTCCTCGGATCTCCATTATCCCTTTTGGTATAGCAAATTTCAATTTTTCTGGTGATAAATGGAGCACACCGCTCCTAGCACATGCAACCAAGTTCGCCCCATGATCACATTGTAGGATGAGTTTGTATCAATCACGACAAACTCAATATTGATGATGAAGGGACCCGTGACGACTAGCAATGTGATTTTGCCTATGGACATGACAAATGAGCCGTTAAATCCGACGAAGTGTGTCCTGACCTTAGTGAGGTCCTTGAGGCTAAAGCCCATCCGCTTTAAAGTCTACAAGTACATCACTTCTGAGGAACTCTCGGAGTCCACCAACACTCTCTTGACGTCGAACTTACCTATCTTTAGAGTTATGATTAGGGCGTCGTTATGAGGAGTCACCACGTCTATCAAGTCTGCGTCGGAGAATTTGATACCCGGCTCGTCGATTTTGGCCCTCTTGCTGGGCAGGCCCCCATCGCTCTCGGCGACTTTTCTTGTAAAGGCTACCCTTTTGAGGTCGGACTCAAATTTTTTGGATGTCGGGCGATCTAGTGGACATACATGGATCATATCTATGACATTGTCTTGCTCCACGGCCAGGGCAGGACCGCGACTCTCTTCTAACTTGGGTTCGACGTATTCGTTCAAGTGACTGTACTGAACCAGCCCTTCCAAGAAAGACTTGTATACCCTGCAATTTTCGGTGCAATGACTGAAACTTGGTGATAGGAACACTTGACCTTTTGATCACGAGTGGAAGGATCATTATGCATCCTGGGTAGCCACTTGAAGAGCGACTCATGCTTGATTTTATGGAGTAACTTGTAAATGGGTTTTCTGAAGACAGTGTGAACACCTTTAAATGACCTCCCTGGAGGGGGTATCAGCCCCTTTCGGGAGGTGTCCCCCGCTTCTCTCTCTTTTCTTCTTGGTGGGAGAGTTCTGCCTTTGTTATCCCCCATTTCATCTTCAATCCTGGAGTATTTGTTTATTCAGGCCATCAATTCGCCCATATCTGAGGGAGTCTTCTTAGTTAGGGATCGGTACAGGTCCGTATCCCTTGCCAGGCCGAGCCTAAAGGATGTGGTTACTATGACCTCCGAACACCCTTCTACCTCATTGACCTCCTCCCAGTATCGGGTGGTGTATTGATAAAGGGTTTCTTGTTCCCTCCGCCTGAGCGTCAATAATGACCTAATGTCTTTGGGCCGCTTGCTCCCCGTAATGAATCGGGCTAGAAACTATCTCGCCAACTTCTTCCATGACCCAATGTTGTTGGGAGGAAGAGTCTCGAACCACTTCATCGCAGAATCTCCCAAACTCATGGAGAACACACGGCAGAGGAGCCGTTGGTCCGAATGATACAGGGACATCATTTACTTGAATTACCTGAGGTGAGCTTCGGGATCGGATCGCCCATCATAAGTTTTAAACCTTGGCACGACGAACTTCTTTGGTACCTCCATATCTCGGATATCCCTGGTAAAAGGCGATTGCATGGCCTCGTCTTCAACGTCATCCTGGACGGCCTTGCCCCTTCTCCTGGATTCCAATCGGGCTCTGAGATCAGTCCCCACCTCGGAAGGATGTCTTCTGAAGTTTTCAAGGTCATTAACGGGGCTCCCTTTCTCTGGGCATCATGCGGAAAAGGTTGAATCCTCCTCAGACTCATCTCCCTTCCCCCGCCTTGACAGTCCCCGCCGGAGGTCGTCCCAGGCCAAAGGCCTTGCCTTCCTGGAAAGACCGTCGAGGGGGTGATCATCGGCTCTCGGGCGCTTCGGGACCTTGGAGCTCTCAGCTTTGTTGTTCAAATGATTCCTCAGGTCCTCGGTTTTCACTTCCTGAACGAGGCATCCGCGGGAACTGAATGAGTCCCCTGATCCTTCACCGGAGGCGACAAATTCGTTAAGCCGACTTAGGACATTCATGTTATCTTGTTCTAACTGTCGTAGGCGATCCCCAAATTTTTCTTCTATCACCTCCGCTAGTTGACGAGCCAAGGGAGCGGATCCTCCTGATCTAATGCCCATACTAGTTTGAGGAGTATGCCCCCTTGGATGAATAGAAATGTTCCTGTTGTCGTCAGCGTGATCCCTCCCCCCAACATGACGAGGAGCTTGTAACTTAAGACTTATTTGCTGGGGACCTTTCCCTTTCTGTCGAGTATTCACCATGGTCACTGTTCTTTCTAGAGAAGAAACTAGGAAAACTACTCGTTTTCCACAGACGGCACCAGATTGTGAGTGCAAGATCCTACACAATATAAACACTATAACAGATCTCTTCCGTGGTGAACACGTGTCCGAAATTGAGTGGTTGATCTTGCTAGTTGAACGGGTTGTGAGGGTCGAAGGTGAATAATCAATTGTTGGTATGAGTCGCCTGAGTGATCCTGGAAGACTAAATAAAGTTCCTAGAACAAAGGAAAACAGGTTAGAAGGGCGCTTATTCTTTGCTGTTCGGGACCCCGAGTAACTAATATTTTCTCCTCGGTCTGCCGAACGTTTAATGATCTTCTCTCGACGGGGGTGTATTAAATGCTCAGGCTTTGAGACATTTATTACCTTTCACTTCCGAGCTCTCGTGCATTAAATGTCGTCTCATCAAGGAAAATGTGCATTAAATAAGTCGTGTGTCAGCAAGGGCATTCTGGTCTTTTTGTCTTTGATCTGACACAATACGCCACGTGCCCATTCCCCTTTGGTTGAGTCTTCTGCTTTCTTGTGCCTTCTAACACCATTTGAGTAAGATGAGATCATAATGGCTAGTCTAGCCTTGCCTAGGTTAGTGATCTGTCCATCAATAGCCCCTGTAGGTGCAGAAACGCCGACGCGATAGATACCCCTCGGTGCCGAGGGACTAGCATGATTTAGGACCGATGTATCCAAAACTGCCGAGGAATACGTGCCGGTCCATGGTGGTTTGGGGATCCTTGATTCCTGTGAATAGTATCCTCGGGGCAGGGGGGTTAAAAACCGCGAAGACGTGTCAGTATTAGAGCAGATGTCTCCATTAACGCCGAATACACGTGTCATCATCTGAGAATATCTGAAAATATCTCATCAATTCTCATACTTTGTTCATATATTTAGACCGTTCTTACAACCAAAACGACCTTATTTTCTATTGGAGCAAACTAAAACCTATAATCAAACAGTCTCTTTTCCACTATACCAATCATCCACCATACCAAACTCCACCACCTCTACCTCGCAAGCGCCCGCCCACTGCCCCTCTTTTCTCCAGTTGTCTCCCCCACCAAATTCCTATCCCCCCCTTCTTAGTTTGGGGTCCCCCCACAAAAAAGTGTTTGTGTTCCCCAACATTGTTATGACGGTCAAGTTGATTATAATTTTCACAAGACAGTTGGGACGGTTGCTAACGATGATGGAGGAGGGAATTCTTTAGTTTTTAAAAAATATTTATGTTTATTTTTTTGGGTGTCTCGATAATTTAAACGAATTTCAATCACATCCCTTATCACTTAAAGTAAATATTTACCGAGAAAATTGAATCTTTATGCTTTTTAATGTTTTGTCAATAAAAAGTTAAATGGTCACTTTAAGAAATTTTTTGAATGATTGTAATACATTCTATTATTCAACTCCCCCCCCCCCCCCCCCCGGGGGA